CTTGGTCAGTTAACTTGACCTGGTGACCTGACCTGACATGACCTGGGGTCAAAACTTTCACACATTGTCCAAAATTGATGTACCAAAAGCTACCCCAAGCGGCGCGGCGCTACACGCCGCGGTTTTTTATTCACACGCAAAAAACGCGACAGGGTGGTAACATATGCCCCCCCCCCCCCACTGGGGCGAAGGTCAGACGATGACAGGTGGCGCAGCAAGAGGAGCATCGGCAGGTGATCCGAAGTGTGACCTACACACCGTTTTAGCGTCGCTTTCTCAGCTTGGCTAACGCGCCGCGACTCCGGCACTCATCATGGCACCGCATTTCAAACCGAGATGGCTCTGTGTACGAATGGCCGTCTTGTTGCCTCCAGTCTGCAGCGAGACAACTGCAGGTGACGATCGGAAGTTTGTGGTTTCCTGACTGAGACCGTCGCGGCACAAAGAGGGAGCGCAGCGCAGCCGGTGCATGTCTGACATAAAGCACCCTGTGCACGTTGATGAGTGTGATAGTTACTTGTACTTCAGTGATTGAGAGTGGTTAGAATGACGTTCGTCCAAAAGAGCCGCCTTTCAATTTTCTCCCATTGAATTATACCTAATGGGGACTTGGGGAGGACGCAAAATTGACCTGACCTTATGTCACCGATATCAAAATTCCGAGATGAACATTTGTAGGTACCGTAAACCGGGGTGAGTTGATATGGGGTGGTGAGTTGATATAAATTGCTCGAAAAATGTTAAAATGTGTGCTGCTCATCCATTTGTAAACCAATTTTTAGTTTTATTTTTCTGTGAAGTGAAGCAACCAATAAGTGATGCATATAGCTGAGAAAGGCATGCATGTGGTGCAGTGCCTTCTTAACACATTACTTTTTTCAAAGTCCTTTTTTTCTTCTGATTTTGAAACTAAGGAAAAGTCCCCACCCTACAGCAAAGACGGTGGATATTCATGAAACAACATGCACTGGGAAAGAAACTACCATCAATTTACTGTTGATCCCAGGTAGTTTTGGGTTTCACCTATAACAACGCTTTTTTATAATTTTAAGAAAAGTGACAGGTGGTGAGTTGATATGCCATCAGGTGGTGAGTTGATATGCATGATAAAAGCTGATACCAGGCTGGTAGGCATGCAAATTAGCATGAAATATGGGTCTGCAGGTAAGACAAAGTCAATTAGACCAACTCTTCTCCTTTTCTTTCCCCACATCATTCCATCAACCCCAAAAGCTTTAGTTTTTTTCTGAATGCTTGAGACGAGGCCTGTTAGTATCACTGATGTTAGTTGTCGGACTTTCGTCCCCGTCTTGAGTTGAGATGTTAGTTTCACAACGTTTCAGCCAGTAGCTTCTCCGGCCGTAGTCAAGCCTGCCTCGATAGTGGAGTGGTTACAACCGTGGACCATCACCGGGGAAACCCGAGTTCGATTCCCGCTGACTACAGGAGCTTTCGAACTGTTTGACGCGTACGGCGCAACGCCACCAACATCCAGGTCCTTGAGGGTCAAAGAACACCTGACGAGTGACGACGGCCGGAGAGTAACTGGCCGAAACGTTATGAAACTGAATCTCAACTCAAGACGGGGACGAAGGTCCGACAACTAACATCAGTAACCCCAAAGTTTTTTTTTCTGTGGACATACCTAACATGCAAAAGGCACAGCACAGCTCCCTGTCAAGTCTCAAGATGGCTCCCTACAAGCTACAAAGGAACACTATAGAACACCTATATTACATACAGATTAAAAAAACTGTTATATTTATTCGTAGTTTCGAAAATGACAGAACTGTCATTTCTGTATGGCTAACAGCGCGGGAATTCTGATCTCGTGAAACTGATTAGTTTTCCTGCTTGGCAGTTGCCAACCGAGAATGAGAGGCAAAATGAAATGGAACAAACAATATAAAGAAATTGACTGGTGTTTAGCCCTCGCCCGTATTCGTGTTTTGCCAGCGTTTAACGTATGGGGGGGGGGGGGTCCGTTGGAATCCCATCGTCGTTTGGCCCCTGGTGGAGCTAGAGCTTCGCGGAAAAAATGAGCGTGTTGCCCGAGACGCGAGGAAGCCGATGATAACCAACTTGGTCATTGGTTAACCTTCCAGGCCAGGTCAATTACCCAGAAGTCGGGAAAATAGGGGGTTATTTGAAGTTCGTAAAGCGAGTTTATTATTTTTTGGCTGTTGCTGATCGCGAATGTCATGTTAGTTTTGCTCACAGATGTCTTCGTACATTTAGGCCAGGTCAGGTCAGGTCAGGTCAACCAGTAGGTGTCCTGCCGGCTATACATAGGGAGTGTCAAGTGTCAGCTACCACTGACGGTGTCGTAACATGTTACGAAGGCACTAAAACTACTTCATAAATGATCAAATGCATGTTAAATTCGAAATCGGCCCGAAAAAAAAACTACCCTAGAAACATGTAAAACTCCAAAAAGTGAACCGAGGTCACCAAAGGTCAATGACCTGACCTGACCTTCAGGTGACCTTGACAGTTGACACCCAAAATACTGCGTGGGACCAACATCATTTACATGTTTGGACGTTACAATCACAAAAAGACTGGAAATGCGCGGATAATGTGAGCCGACTACGCCAAATCGCGATTCCGGCCAAGCATGGTCTCGAGAATCAGGTCACAAGTCAAAAACCATTTGAGTCAGAGTCATGAAATCTTTAGAACATGTGTAAAATTGATAAACTCGAGAGGTACTGAAAGTTTCGTCGTGATCGGCCGCTTTTTGCGCGAGTTATGTGCGAAAAGCCGAGGTGGTCCGTTCGCCCGCCTATAAGTGCGAGGGTTAATTTTGGCTTTTGATGCCGAATTCTGTTTTATGTCGCTTAGAATACAGTCCGAATTAGATTCGCTTCACTTCACTTCATTAATATTTTGTTGACTACCAGTCAACAAAAGCTCAGAAGTATATGTATTCTTTCATTTCAATCCATTATTTATGTCAGAGGCATATCAACCTTGACCCGCAACTGACAATGTGTTTTAATTACAAGAAAATACACTTGTAATTCCAAAATATATTGCCAGTTTTGATACCGTTGGCTTGAGGACACGTGACTAGCCAAGTTCAGAATGTTCTAAGTAAAACTAAGTATCATAAAGCGAAAAAAATGATGCTGCTAAAATCAAGCCATTTTGATCGCGCTGTGTTGGACATGATTGCGTTTTCATGAATGTGAGGTCTGCTGCCAAACTACTAGCATTTTTCTAATGGTTTCTTTCAGGATGTGTTCTCTCATCCTTTTTTTAACCCGCGCCCTGCTGGGGGGGGGGGTGTTTGAACACCCCCCTTGTGGTTTTTCGCGAATATCTCAAAAACGGCGGCGCGAAGCGCCGCCGTTTTTGGTACACCTTATCATACATCGATTCTACACATGTTGTGAAAATTTCAGACCAAGGTCATTCAAGGTCAGGTCACCAGGTCACTTGAAGTGACCTCACCTCATAAAAACCTTCAAAGTCTGTCATAGCTACACCGAGTGACCGATCGCTTTGAAACTTTCAGCGATTGCTAAAAGCAATAGCATGTACAAAATGTATATCTCAGAATTTTGATATCGATGACCTAAGGTCAGGTCAATTTTGCGACCTCCCCATTATAAGTCAATGGGAGAAAATTGAAATGCGCCTCTTTTGGATGAAAGACATTATAAACACTCCCAAACACCGAATTACAAGTGTTTTAGACACACTGAACTTGAAAATGGTGTCCGTGACCCTTGTTTATGCCCTGAGGTCATCTTAGGTCACGAATGGTATCTAACAGTTTTTCGCAAATAACTTTTGATAGAGGCATGCTAGAGCGATGAAAACGCCTTAGATGTGTTCAGCTCGACGATACGGATCGACTGATATGCAACATGACCCTTTCCGGTCAGGTCATGACCTTGACCTGAGGTCAAATTTTCAAGTTGACCTTTCAAGGTCAAGTTATAGTTCATTCGATGCGTCTTGACGAGAGGAACACGATGCCGGTAAAAGTAAGCTCGTACAAGGCTTGGGTCAAAAGTTATTGCAGAAAAACTGTTTTCGAAAAAACCGGCTATTTTTGCAGTTTTTGCCCCCTGCAGGCAAAACCGTTGACGTTAGCTCAAATCTGAGAGAATTGCTCAGAAAGGGCGTTAATAGGGCTATCGAATGCGCTTTTCCGCGGCGCTGTAGCTCTATTGGTTCCCGAGTTATGCGTTGGCTTCTTGGAAATTTTCGACATTCGACCTGGAAATCGGCGAAATTTTGCCTTCAATGACCTCTGGTGACCTGACCTTTGACCTGACCAAAAAATTGACCGAAGTGATTTCGTCATTATTTTTGACGCTCTTTCGAACGCCGCCTTCCGCGTATCGCTACGTGGCCCAGGAGCCGAGTTACAAGGGGGGGGGTGTTCAAACACCCCCCCCCCCCCCAGCAGGGCGTGGAAATCCAGGACCCCCAGCCGGGCGCGGGTTAAACACTGGCATTTTATCAACTCACCTCTGAGCTTCTTTAGCCGATAAATTTTGAAAAATCCAAAATCATATCAACTCACCCCCTGTGGGGTGGTGAGTTGATATGAACTTTGGCGTTTTAAAAAAGGGGCTTAATATATACATTTTTTATTCATTTTTGCTTATTGCCTCCCCAAGGCATGTGCCATGAAACTGGCACAAAAAGAATTCCGTAAATGAATGTGGCTTTTAACGAAATCTAGAATAACCTCAAAATCCATATCAACTCACCCCGGTTTACGGTACACACTGCTACTCGTATCAATCGCTGAAAGTTTCAAATCGATCGGTTACTCGGTGTAGCAATGGCAGACGTTAAAATGTTTTATTAGGTGAGTGAGCTGACCTTGAGTGGCCTTGGTATGAAATCTTGTACAAAACATGTGCAGAAAAGATTATGATAAGGTGTGCCAAAACGGCCGTCTTTGAGATATTTGCGAGAAACCACTGCCGGATGCTCACCCCCCCCCCCCCCTCACCCTCCCCAGCAGGGCGTGGGTTAAAGGTTAAAAGCGATGTGTAACGGTCACTGAAATGTAGGCTCCATTCTCAGATTTCATTGTAATTACGAGTACAACGACCTAACCAGAAACCTACTAAAGCCATTCTTAACAGCCAGCACAAATTCAAGCACAATCGCCCTCAGACATCGGCTCTGAATGGCTAAATGACAAAAACTCGATATCGGCGCTGCTGATCGAGCAAAAAAAAAGAAGATAAATGACGAGTCAGGGGTCCCAGGTTAGATTGGACCCAGGTTAGGATTACATGTACCGAAGCCGTTCGGTACAATCATCTATACACACTACACAAGTGGCTCTTGCCACTGTAATATCTCACCTCCCTCGTCGAACACAGAATACAAAGTGCCGACAAAGCTCGTGGCTTTGTGCCTCGCGTCTCCGCTTCTCGCTAACACATGTGCACCTGTCAAAGAACACCCACTAACATTGCAGGAATGACTAGTGGAATCAAAATCAAGTGTGGCTAGGGCCCTCCCTTTGTCGTTATGGCGGCGCCTACCGGTTGGGGTATAAAAGGTCCCGAGCTGGGGTCAGGGCGTCAGAAGCCACGATGTTTCGACTGCTTCTGTTGGCAGCGGCGGTGGCCGGCGGGTGGGCCGAGTGCCCCCACACGTGGACTCTGTCACCCTGGAGTGACTCGGCGTCTTGGCCTGATGGACAGGTGAGGGTAAAGAGATTGCTACACGTACCTTAGTGGGAACGATATACCTAGGAGTCATGATGGTCCTGCTTCTTAGCTACTTTTGTGAAGGGCTAAAGCGCTACATAGTTGACAGAAACAAGTGACGGAGCAGCAGATTGATACGATGGACAGATGAGTTTTTTTAAGGCGCAAAATCGTTTCATTGGTCGGGACTTCTCGTTGCTCATTTGACCTTGGAAGACTTGAAATTGGCAACCAGTAAAACTGAATCTGGTTGTATTCCAGTGTACCTACAGATGCTGATCAGTCTTGTCCTCACGTGTTGCAGGTTCCGACCGCGGGCAGTGTCACGATCAGCACGCCTGTGCTTCTAGATGTAAGTCCCCCACCAATGGACACCATCACCATCGCCGACGGAGGAAAACTGGTGTTCGACCCTGCCGTGGAGTCTCTGAAACTCTCCGCCAACATGGTGGAAATCACTGGCGGAGAGTTCTGGATCGGTTCGGAAGACTGTCCCTACACCTCTGAGGCTGAGGTTCTGCTTACCGGTAAGAGGGACGAAAGCGAAGGCGCTGCCTCTGTCCAGAAAGCCATTCTTGTTCGTTCTGGTGTCCTCGAGGTTCACGGCGAGCTCAAACTTTCGTGGACCCGTCTCGACGCCACCCTCCCGAAAACAACGAGGGAAGAAATCACAAGTGGAGCGATCAAAAGCGTTGTCGATACAGAGAACACACGTGGTAGTGGTTTTCACATGTTTGAATTTGACCCTCAGGGCAACGGCGTGAAGAACTGGCGTAGGGTGTTTGGCCCTGCGAAGTTTACAAACGTAGCAAACAAGGTGGGAAATATCGCGCTTGTCGTGGTGCAGCGACAGGCGCTTTTCGGAACATCCACACCAGAAGAAACAGCCGCAGCCTTTGAAAGCATGTGCTTTGGCGGACAGCAGTCTAGCGCAATGCGAGACCTTGTCGCTAGACAGCGCATAGCTTTTGCAGCCATCTGTCACATTGGTTCTCCAGAAAACAGCGTCGAGCTGGTCGGAACGTTTGGCAACGACAGGTCGTCGACTGGCTGGCTCAGTAAGACGATTGGTGGTATTACTTTCGCTGCCATGTCGGTGGCCTCTACAATCAACTACACTCCGGTCAGTCGCGTCGAGATGATCTCTTTTACTGCAGGCTCGGTTCCATCATTTACGCAGACGCTAACCCTGGCTGAACCTGTCACAGATTGGCAAGTGGGAGACGACATTGTCATAGCTTCAACAGACTTCCACCAGGGTCAAGCTGAGCAGTTTACGCTTCTGGAATGTGCGGGGTGCCAGGACGACCAGGTTATGATCGAGGGTCCTGTCTTCTTCACCCACTGGGGAGAGGAGACGGACGGTGTTGATATGAGGGCAGAGGTTGGCATGCTCACTCGTAAAGTTAAAATCCACGGAGAAATGGAGGACGAATGCTACGGCGATAATCTCTGCGAGCGATTCAGCTATGACACATTCGGCGGACAAATTAAGGCGCTGCGGGATTTCAGTTCGGTTCAGATCGAAAATGCCGAGATTTACCACATGGGACAGCAATCCGTCATTGGATCTTACCCCATCCATTTCCACATGTGTTTGGACACATCAGGCAAGAATGCAGCTATCAGACAGAACTCCATCCACGATACCTTCTCCCGTTGTGTGACAATCCACGGCACGCACAATGTAACTCTCGAGAACAACGTGGCTTACAACCACCTGGGTCACTGCTACTTCCTGGAGGATGGCGGAGAGCAGCACAACACCTTCCTGGGCAACCTCGGCTTCGGAACCAAGGCCGGGACGCTGCTGCCAAGTGACAGAGCCGGCCGGGTGAGCACGTTCTGGATCACGAACCCCGACAACACCCTGAACAACAACGTCGCCGCCGGATCAGACGGCATCGGCATCTGGATTCTGATGCCGCTTCTCCCTACAGGACCGTCGGCCGACGTCGACATGGGTCTGGTCAGCGGCCAGTCCCTGCGCACGGCGCTGAGGGGATTCAGTGGCAACAGAGCTCATTCCAATCTTGATTTCGGTCTTCGTCTCGATGATATTCTCAGAAACGATGGCACGTTTGGGCCCGCGAAGTATGCCCCAAGGGTGGATCCAACTGACCCCAGAAGTGACTTCGAGCACTTGATTATCGACGATTTCACCGCTTATAAGAACACCGAGGGAGTTTGGATCAAGTCGATGTGGACACTCTGCACCAACTTCCGTCTGGCAGAAAACCATATTGGACTTATTTTTGCCTCTGCTGGCCCAGAGGACCGCAGACCGCACCATGAGATGCTCGGCAACTCCAGGGTAGTCGGCAACACAGACAACAAGGGAGAGCCGGCGGGAAGAGTGAGCTTTGGATCTGGCCAGTCCATCATATTGGACCGCTCAATTCCCAGAAAGAAGGGAAAGAACGCCCAAATCGGTGTAGCCTTCTACCGAGGTCCTGTGCATGTGGTTGACAGTTCATTCGCAGGTTTTGTTTCCAACGAGCTGCGTGGGGCTGGCGCCATCGGAAAGAAACCATCTAACCCGTACTTCTCTTCGCCCATCGCCAGCGTGCGAAACGCCACTTTTGACTTTGTCGACCCCAGTGGCGGATCACGTTTCTACGACGGAGATGGAACCGTATTGGGCTACAAGGAGAGGGACGGAAACCGACACAACATCGTGCTCGACTGGGACGGCTCGCTGACCACGTATCCTCTCGCCAGTGTGGTGCGTCCGATCCCGGTCCTGATGAACGCGCGTTGCGTTCTCACTCCCAACTGGGGTCCGGGCACGGCCATCTGTCCTGACCGATTCTCCCGTCTGAAGGTTACCGGCAGCCAGCCCAGGCCCAAGGCCTTCGTGACACGCGACGATCTCCAGGCGAGTGAGGTGGAGGTCAGCCTAGGCGAGCAGCAAGTCAGTTTCTCTATGAACACGGCAGAGTCGTACATCGTCCACTTCAACACCACAGTGCCGCAGAGGGTGGTCATCATCCCCTTCGGCCTGCAGCAGGACCTCTACCAGAAGGTGGCCGTGTGTGTCGGAGCCAGCCAGCAGATCACCGTGACGCCAAACACGTACTCGGCGGCAGACTCAATCGCAGAGGTGGACGCAGACGAGACCAACAGCAAGTACTTCTATGACTCCGCCGTTGGCACCGTACATTTCAGGTGAGATGTCCGACGCTCAACACCTTTCAGATGGTGTGAATATGCTGTTACTTGTATCGAACAAAGAATAGAAACAGGCGCGAGGATGATGATGTAAAAGACGTAAAAGATAGAGCCTGGTGCAATAATTTCGCCATCTCTTTTCAGAAATGTATTGAACACATCGTAGAGTTGTGTGTGTACTGTGTGCGTCACAGTTCTCAAAGAAACAGGACATGCCTATGTCACTAGCTTATTCTAAGGAACATCTGAACACCGTCTTCTCTCATGTCCATGACTTACCACCCCTTTTCTGTGGCCGTCAGGTTCTCCAATCCGTTCCCGCGCGGTGAGCACACCACATCGCACTGTCCCGGTACTGAGGAGGACCAGAACGGGGAGTGTCTGCCCGTGGTGAAGATCATCCAGGAAGCGAACAATGAGGACGGTGACTGTCGCGAGAGGGCCTACCCCAAGTACCAGACGACGCCCGTGTCCGCAGAGGGAGCCCTCACGGTGCCTACGTTCTCGTAAAATGAGAGCGGCCTAGAGTGAATTGATACCATGTTTGGCGTTTGCTTACTTTGGGTTCTGTGTGCTAGTGCACAGTGACAGCGGATGAATTTGATTCTAGATTAGAAAAAAACGCTGCACAGATTTGGTGAAAGGTGATTTTCATTGTTTTATGTTTTATGTCATGTTAATAAATGATTTTGGCAGATGGCATACTGTTACTTAATCTTTGGTTCCGTCTACCTGAATCTTACAACATGTGATAGTGATATTGGCGTCACAAGTGGCCAGGAAACTGTTGGCACTTGTTTGGCACTAATAAAAGTCTTGTTGTACAGAATATATCGGTAGCGGCAACAAGTAGAAAGTAGAAAGCATTGCGTCGAAAAACCTCCCCGACATGTTGCTTAGAGGATTTCATGTGGCGATCATGGCAGCGTCTAGTTCTTATAAGGGAATCCATTCCCGGGGGAGGGGGGGGGGTAGAGGAGTCAGAGAACACACAGCAAATCTTTGTCGCCATTGCGGCTGTCTAACCTAAGCTATGGTCACGTAACTCGATCATGCAGATCAATGCACTGATCAACATTCTGAACTGGGCAAAAGCCGTGTCGATCGACAAGATCTTACCGAATTCCAAATATGACGATGACGTGGCTGCATAGTGCATTCCGCCGCAAGGCACGCATTTCTCTACAAGCCACTCTTTACGGAACGAGAAATGGAATATCTTCGTCTAGGTTGATTGTTGGGCCGTAAAAGCCCCTGATTGCATGGTGCTAGTCTCAGCTCAATCTACGAAACTGCTACTCCAGTTAAAAAACTAATGTTAATCAAAGGTTACGCGATTTCTCACTATACTGATCTTTATAGCGACTTAATTGTAATTGTGTTGCGGCACTATTGATTGCCGCAATAGCAATAGCTGCACAATGTATCGTCATTCCTGTCTCGAGTAGGCAAGATACGATAACAAGCGTGTAAACAAGCGATAGATAGTTAATTGCTAATTTTAATCTTCGTATGGATGATTGACCTAAGAAACTTTACAGCCAATCTTCGTGTCATTTTTGTGTCGCCCCCAAAAATACAGGGAGCTGTATTTAACCATGTAACGAAGCACGTTGCTACCTTCTATCTAACATTCCCCTTTTGCACGCTCGATCACAGTCACACCGGATACATGTATCACCCTTTGTGTCGATGACGGTACGGCAGTTCAGCCCTCACCACAGAACTGATGACAGTGCCGAGTGCACACCTGTCTGCCGCTGTTTCTATGGTCTTGTTCTGTACGATTCTGTCGATGTCACAGCATTCACAGGTGGTCAGTCGGCTGTGCCGATGTCACCGCTGATTTGTCGACTGTCAGGGTCAGGATGTGTTCCGGCGCGATGAACAACTGCTAACTTGTTACAAGGCTCTGGCTGTCAGCCACGGTAGCATTCACAGCTCGGTCTCATCGTTTTAATTTTTTTGTTTTTTAAGGATGCTGACAGACGGTGAACTAGTCTATGCTGCTAGCTGGTATAAGCTTTTCTACGTCTTAGTTCAAAAGCTAGCGTTGTGTGGTGGCAGGCTACAGAGTCGAAAATTTTAGCTCGGGGGGGGGGGGGGGAGCGTTGCAAGCACAGCTTATGTGTTGCCTAGGGTTAAAAATCGATCACGATCTAGCCACCGTGCCTCTCGAATATGTATAGGTACTTAGGTATGCATATTCTTAACCCGCGCCCCGCTGGGCTATTCAGCCATACGCGCCCTGCTGGGGGGGGGGGGGGGGCAGATTCTGACTTCCGAACCGATGGTCATAAAAAGACGGGGAAAACGGCAATCGAAAGCTCTCAACAAGGCGGATCTTAAAGGGACCCTCCCACCTTCAAAAAAGTTAATGAATTGGCATGAAAGTGATGTCCCTTGGTTCAGAAAGAGCGAAAACGAATATCTACCAAATTTCACCGAAAAATATTCACTGGTTTTCAAGATATTAGGCTTTTACTTTTGTTTACTTTTTGGGATCTCCCCTGTTAATAGCAACTTTATTTGGAAGCAATAATTTGGCAGCCTTAAAGTGCGACAGACGTTGCGCGCAAAGCAGCGTATACCACCACGTGTTAACGATGGTTTTAGTCTAAGATTTAAAAATCGTTAGATCTCCGCTGACGTCACAAATTCTAAGGGGACATTCCAATGCATTAGCCCCTTAGAATCCGAGAACTGCAAGTTTGAAATTCCATATCTTCGAATTAAAGCATTTTTCGATGTTGTGAGTGCCCAAACCGGTATTTGCAGGCCATGGCCACCAATTTGGCTATCTCAACTCAAAACTAATGTTAAGGTGGGAGTGTCCCTTTAAGAGCCCATTTTTTTTTGTAGGTCAGATGTCAGGTCAAGGTCAGGTCAAGGGTACAAAATTCAAGTTTCTACAGTATCGGCCTTGTACCGTAGTTGCCGAAGAATGGACTGAGACTGATTGCCCAAAACGTGTTCTTAGACTGCCAAGACAATATTCGTTGCATAGAATGTCATTCAAAGGTCAAGGTCAAGGTCAGTTCGGGTCAGGTCAGGTCACCAAAAACAAAATATAGAAAAGGGCATGTGCGACACATGTTTTATGGGTCATTTTACTCCTAGAATTCAATAGGCACACTCAATAAGTGATATGGACAACCTCTGGATGAATTTCAGGTCGAGGTCAGGTCAAGGTCAGGTCAAGTGAGGTCAAATTTTGAAGTTGGTTGTTAAGGCCTAAAAAGGTGTCTATCTGATGCAGTTTTTCACGGCAAATCGAATGGTGCTATTTTTGTTACCGTACGAGGTCTAGAACTTCCAAAAAATCATTTTTCAAAAAAAAATTGTGTGCCGTGACGTCATAAAATTTTGAATAACTCCCACATTTTTGAACCGATTCTTTTTAAAAATTGGTATGTAGGTGACCATAGACCACTTCTCAGTTTTTTTCGCCTCAAAAACGGCAAAATTTCAAACGCCGCTAACATCTTCATTTTTAAAGGAATCAAGACGTAACAAAAAAGGTTATACGTGATTCTACTTTGTCTATCAAATGGCTATCTCAGTTTTTTGAAGAAAAAAAATTGGGCCAAAATCCAAAATTTTCAAAAAACCGAGATAGCCATTTGATAGACAAAGTAGAATCACGTATAACCTTTTTTGTTACGTCTTGATTCCTTTAAAAATGAAGATGTTAGCGGCGTTTGAAATTTTGCCGTTTTTTAGGCGAAAATGGCGAACATGACGTCACTAAAACGTCAATTTCTCAAAAATGTTCCGACGGATTTCGCTCAAATTTTCAGGGAACGTGTCAAATTGATGTATGATAAGGTACTGAAAGTTTGACGTCGCTGGCTTAACGCGTTTAGAAGTTATTGGCGAAAAACGGGAGGGGGGCAGATTCTGCCCCCCCCCCCCCCAGCGGGGCGCGGGTTAACCCGGCGGCCGCTGGGCCTCCGCGCCACCCGCCGGCCGCTGGGGGGGGGCATAAAGTTGCCCCCCCTTTACTTCTGCGACGATATCGTCGCAACGCGAAGAGATAGAGAAACGAAACTTTGCACACATCTTCCTGAATACCTAACCGAGGTTGTGTCCAAATTTGGTGTCGATCCCATTTGAAATGACGTCACAGTGACGTCATAAGTGAAATTATAGATTTGCGACTCTCATATTCCTCACGATACATCACATATATGGGACCGAATATAAAGGGCCGATTATTGGTCAGAAACTAGATGGAAGTGTAGTAAGATGTTTTAGGATGACAGCAGGTGCTGTCTAGTTCATTTACAGTCGAGTTTCAAGCTCAGCGTCATCAGAAACGGTCCATATCGGAAAACGACAAAACTTTATGACGTCACTGTGACGTCATCTTAGGTGCTACAACCACCAAACTTTCCTCAAACATTGCCTAGGTATTCATTTGAAGCTATGCCAAGTTTCACGTTCGTAGCTCATCAGGTTTCGGAGATATTTCACAAAACGTAAAGGGGGGGGGGCAACTTTATGCCCCCCCCCCAGCGGCTCGTGGGTTAAGTTATCTGAATGCAAAGGCAGATGGGATGCAGTGCGTGCAGTGTGCAAAAACATTGGCGGATCTAAAAAAGTGGTTTGAAGTGCATTAGGGGCATGCTTAGTCTAGGTAAAAAATGTTCTTTGATCTCCAAACACTCTTCGGGTTTCGCTGTATTATGACGTAAGTACTGCGCAGTTCAAAACAAACGTTCCCGATTGAGAGGTGTTAAATTTTCTTTCTTCATGAGGAAACGGCGAAATATCGTCAATTTGGGGCATTGCTGGAGGGGCATGCGCCCCAAATACTTGTGCGACCTTGTGCGACCCCCTGAGTCTTGTGAGACCCCCTGGATCCGTCAGTGTAGGTTACTTCGAAGCATGTCCGTGTAAATAGAGTCAGTTACATAGCAAGGCTGCGGATTCGTAGTCGGAGTCGTATTCGGACTTCGGAGTCGGTCGGAGTCGATAATTCTGACCGGAGTCTGGGTCGGAGTAGATTGTGGAAACCGGAGTCGGAGTCGGAGTCATCGAAAACTCATCGGCTTCACATATCTGAAAGAACTGTTGAGTCGGAGACGAAGCTGCTTTTTAAAACCGGTGTCGGAGTCGGAGTCGGAGTCACCGAAACTCCATCGACTCCGCAGCCCTGCCCTGCAGTGTATTTCGAGTTTCAACGAAGCCAACATCTTTACGAATAGCCCCGGAATAGTACACGAATAGTGTAATATAGCGGAGTTCGAAATTCGAATGCTTATCTCTTATCTTTATTTATGAACTGATGAATGGGCATTATGTATAATGTGCATTGTGCACTGTGCAGACCGCAGCGTGATTGCACCAAACCGCAAGGTCTTTTTGGGGTCGCCCAAGGGTCGCCAGTTCTAGGTCCCGTACTCGTACTCGAGCCTTGGGCGACATCTATACAAAGCTGTAGTTTGCTATCCACCGGTGCTGGCGCTGCTATCGCATTTGAGGTCCAAATCGACTTGGCTCGAGTTGCCGATGGGCATACCGTTCAAGCATAGGCCTGAAGTCACGCTTATTCTTTGTCCAGCCCAAGTCAGCTGAAGTCCATTGTTCATGGGAAGAGCGTCGGCGTGTGTAAACCGAATCGCTGTTAATCGGCGATAGATCTCACTTTCCCTACATCAAGCGGCGGTGCCGGTGTCGGTCAAGTCCCGTGGT